ACCTCAAATAGCAACCATGATATGCCTAACATCTATTGTCTAGATTTTGCATGAAATTATTAATCTTCTTGTACCATTATCTAGGAGCTTGATTCAGGTCGTACAAGTTCTTTTTCAATCTGCAAACTGAACTATTTTTTTCCCTATACCACGAACCCCTCAAGTTGGTGCATGTAGATGTCTTCTTTAGGGCCTCCATGAAGAAAGATTGTCTTCACATCTAACTGCTCAAGAAGTAAATCTTCGGTAGCCACCATAGCTAGTACCATCCTGATGGTTGCGAGCTTTAAAACAGGAGAAAATATCTCATAATAATCAATGTCATGCCTCTTTTGAAAGCCTTTTACAACAAGTTTGGCCTTGTAACCCTTACTAACATCATGCTCAGTTTTCATCATGTACACCCACTTGTTGTACACACATTCTTCTCTGATGGAAGTTCTGTCATCTCTCGTGTCTGATTTCCCAGCAAGGAATCCATCTTCTCCTCCATGGCTAGCTCGCTCTTGCTTAAATTTTTACATTGCAAGTTTTCTTCATAACTCTACAGTTCTCCACCATCTGTTAGCATGACGTAGTTCAAAGTAGGTGTGTGTGGAAAGAAGCCCATGAATCTAGTATCTAATCATCAATAGAGTTGTGAACTGCAAGCAATAGTGCACCGTCTTCTTAGGATTTTTGCAGTTTTTCTTTATATGGCCAGTTTTATCATAATTCCAGCAGGTTACTTCTTGATCGGGCTTTGACTTACACTTGCCTCTGTGCTTTGATTTTGATCTTCCTATGTTTGAGTTCATGTCCTTTGATCTTCTTCTGGAATCAACATTCAGTGCTAAACTCAAACCCGCAGTCTCGCCAGAATCCTTCCTGCGCACCTCCTCAACCCAAATCAAATCACGAATATCATCATATTTCAGCTTAAATTTACATACAGAGTTGCTAATTATCATCATCATGACTTTCTAGCTATTTGACAATGAAACCAACAATATCAATGCATGTATCTCATCGTCAAAATCAATTTCAACAGACAAAAATTAATATGTGATGATATTGAAATCAGTCAGATGTTGAGCGACAAACACACATTCTGTCATATTTAAGTTGAATAATTTTTTCATCATGTGTACATTGTTATTCGCCGATGACATTTCATACATATCAGATAAAGCTGACATTAGATCGCAGTCGTCCTCTTCTTCATGATGTTGTGGGCAATGAATCTCGACAGGGTTAATCGAATAACCCCTATAACCTGTCGATCCTATAGATTCTAATTCACCTCATCCATCTTCTCTGGTTGTTTTCCCATTAACAGAAGATAAAGTTTCTTCCCAAAAAGGTAGTTTTTTATCTGCATCCTCCAGTAACCAAATTTTGTGCTGTCAATCTTCTCGATCCTCTACACCTTCACTTCGTTTCCAGCTATTGTTCTTCTTTAGATTCAAAACCACAGCACTGATACCAATTATTATGAAAAACGACGACAATAAAGCAAAAATAGGAACAACAAATTTGCAAAAATAAATTATAAGCGGAGCACATAGAGATTTACATGATTCTACAAATTTGTCTATATCTACGGAGTTGAAGAGGATTTTATTAGCTTGAAAAATTACACCCGTCGATTACAAGAAAAAACTCTCCCCCTCTCTCTCTCCTCACCTTCTCTCTTTATCTCTCTACCCGGGAGACACATGTGAAGAATAAGCAAGTAAAAATGGGGAGATCCAAGAGAAACCAAGCTTTCTATTTTCTTTCCCGTAAGCAAAATATTTCCCTTGAGTTTCCTGTAATCTTCACGCCGAAGAGGGATATCTAGGATGATCTCTAGCAGGCTTTTTCAAGGCAATTTATAACAAGCTTAAAAGCTCATTTAAGGAAATAGTTGAAGGCTACATATGATTCAAAGGAACGCAGAAAAAATAAACACGGAGAGCTTCACGTGGTTACATGGCTCAGCGTAGAGAGAAGAAGATGCGAGATTTAACAAATTAAGCGAGTTTAGGCTTTCCTTAATTCATGAATCCAGTAGAAGCAGGAGGAGCAGGCGGAACAGGAAAGAATAAAGCATAATTAACATTCCTAATTGTTGTTGTGGACCAAATCTCCACTAATACCCAACTCAACTTATGGACATTATCACAATTTGCAACTCCCAACTCCAGCCTCTACGGCTTACGAACGTCATCGCAACTAACCATTATGAAATATGTGATAAAATATGACTTGTGTGGCTCATAGCTCATGCAGTTCATAAATTTGACCTCTACACTGAACAAAGATTACCACCGCTCGCACAGTTCTCAATTCCAGCCTCAACGACCTATGAACAAAATAAATAGTTGTGCAGCTTCTAACTTCGGCCCTACGGCCTACAAATGTCATTACAGTTCACAATTACAACCTATGTGATCAACTACTGCCTACGTGAATCACAACTCCCAAACCTTCATACTATGGCTCTTAAGGTAAGTCAACACTTCTAAAGCGATCATCTAAGGCCTACATTGCCAACTACTACTACGATTTCTAACTATGATCTTTACGACAAGCTGACGCTACAACCATCATATGCAACTTTTATGGCGGGCAATTGTCTTCATAGCCACCGACCACAGCTTTTACAGCCCATTATAGCTATTATTTCTGAGTTGTCATTATATATCAATTATGTAACTCTGTATTCCATAATTCTAGATAAGGCTGAATTGTGTTCTAAAATTTACATAGTCAATTTTTTTATGTGGCTAGGCTTTGTTGTTTTTACCCTTTACAAGAATTTTCTATGTAAAAAATCGAGATGACTCCTACCACTCTCGTTTACTATTTGTGTGTGTGCTAGATTTTTGTACAATACTAAGACGCTACATAATCATTCTATCGATGCATCCCTTCCGTCACGCATCAATCTTATATATATTTACATACATACATACATACATACATACATCATATTCATTCCACCTCACTTAATTTTTAATAAAATGCCCTATTATGGCTCCTCGCTTTTTTTTATAAAGAAATATTGTAAAAGTGATCACGGCCCGAGCAGCTTCCGATTCTAGCTTTTCAAGCCTACGAATGTCATCGTAGCTCATCACTGTGACCTACATGATTATTTATGGTCTATGTCGTCAAGAGCTTGTGCAGCTCCCTCTATAGCATATGCAGGCTATGGACGTCATCCTAGCTCACCACTACGTGATCAAATGTGGCCTATGTGGCTTCTCATTTTGTCCTATACGACCTATGGACGTCATTACAACTCCTGATTCCGTCCTCTGCGATCAAAAAATGTCATCACAGCTCCTGATTATGGCCTCTACGACCTACAGACGTCATCGTTATTTCTGATTTTTTTTTCTACGACTTACGAATGTCATCACAGTTCATCAATATGACATAAATGACTAAATATGGTCTACGTTTTCCAGAGCTATTGTAGCTCCCTACTATGGCCTCTACAGCCTATGGACATCATCACAGCTCACCACTATGACTTATGTGATCAACTGTGGCCTATTTCGCTCATAGCTCCCAACTCTGACCTCTACAACCTATGGACATTATCACATTTTGCAACTCTCGACTCCAACCTCTATGACCTATGAACGCCATCACAACTCGTCATTATGGCATATGTGATAAATTACGACCTGTGTGGCTCATAGCTCATGCAGATCCCAAATCTTACCTCTACAATCAACAAACATTATCATAGCTCGCACAGTTCTCAATTATGGTCTCCATGGCTTATGAACAAAATAACGAGTTAAGAAGCTCCTAACTCCGACCTCTGTGGCCTACAAATGTCATTACAGTTCACTATTACAACCTATGTGACTAATTCGACCTACGTGGATCACAACTCTCACAATTTTCTACTATGTCTCTTAAGGTCAGACAACGCTCCTAAAGCAATCATCTAAGACAAACATTATCAACTACTACCCTGATTTGCAACTACGACCTTTACAACAAACTGACGCTACAACCATCATCAGCAACATTTATGGTGGGCTCATAGCCATCGACCACAGCTTTTGCCACCCATTATAGTTATTATTACTGAGTTGTCGTTATAGATCAATTGTGTAACTCCATTTTTCCTAATTCTATATAAGAGTGGACTCGTGTTCGAAAAATTACATAGTGGATTTTTTCAACTGGTTTAGGCTTTTTTTTCCATTCTAAAATTTTTTATGTAAAAAGTCGAGGTGACTCCACATACTACTCTTCTTTACTATTTGTGTGTGTGTATTTGTGTGTCCCCTACCGTGACTCTTTGGTTGACGAAGTTTGTAAGACCCCTGGGGTCATATGTTCGATCTCGTCTCGATATAATGAAATTCTTAGGCACGTGAAGTTGGTCGGGAGGCTCGTCTTATAGCCTCTGATCAATATATCTATATATATATATATATCCATTCTATCTCACTTATCTTTTAACAAAATGCCCAACATGCTTGCTCAACAATATGGTTTATGATTGTATAACTTCTTTCTCTTATAACATATTTCTTTCAAGTGTTTGATAAATGCTCTTTTTCTTCTCATTCATCACTCAAGAGTGCATGTTATTTCAGTGATGGTTTATCTCACTTGGTCGAAAAGAAAGCAATAAGGTTTGGTTCCTACCACTCAGCACTAGTTTGCCTTGCTAGTAACAATTAAATACCATGTGCCAACCAATATCAATAGATGGAGAGTAAAAAGAGAACTAACCCTCAGATTGTTGCTAGGCATGGATGTTGCGTGTGTTTTGCTTATCTATCTTCTTAATCTAGTTATTTAATTATTTCAAAATATTATATGATTATATTACTAATGATGCACTCAATCAAAATTCAAAATAAAACCCAAAATCATAGTTGTTATCTTCATCAAATTCTTAATGATTTGATCTTGATAAACATAGATGCATCAATTTAATAGTTCAGAAAATAACATGAATACTAATTTTATAAGTAACAAAATTTCATGTAAATGTCCCCAAAAAAACATAACAAAACTCCATCCAGGACTAAAATGTAAAAACTAAAAAGATCCTCATTCCTCATTCTCGCTATAAAGATCGCTTCTAATTTTACCGTTAATCTTCACCGAGCAAACCTCCATTTTTAGTTTCTCTTGCTTCGCATTTCCCCAAGTACACAACGCGATGGAGGAGACAAACTCCACACCAAAAGTCCCGAAGAAAAAACCTCAGCTTTTTGCTGCTCGCCCACCTTATTTCCAGGTTTGTTTTCCCTCTCCTTCGATACGTCCCATTTCATCAGCTTGTTTTCGGGTTCATTTGTCTTCCAATAGATGATTAAAGAAGCAATCTTAGATGTTCACGACAAAACTGGATCCAGCCCTCACGCAATTGGTAAATACATGGAGGAGAAGAACAGAGGAAATTTCCCTGAAAACTTCCGCAAGCTTCTCGCAGTTCAGTTGAGGAACAGTACAGTTGAGGGCAAGCTTATCAAGGTGAAGGCTTCATTTAAGTTGTCCTCATCTGGTAATCAGGGAGAGAAAAAGGCTGCTGAGGATGTGAAGCCTAGGGTAGCTGGTGAGAGGAAGAAGACGACTAAGGAGGTCTCTGCAACTGCGAAAAGAAAGGTTTTTGAGGCTACGAAGAAGGGTGGCGGTGATGTTAAGGGTGTTAAGAAGGCAAAGGTGGTGAAGGTGGCGAAGGTGGTGAAGAAGGTGAGGGGAGCTGCTCCGGCGAAGCCTAAGGCTAAGTCGATCAAAGCTCCGGCGGCCAATAAAGCCAAGAAGGCTGCAGCTTGAGGTGCTGTCAGACTTGTCGTTTTTTGCTTTTTAATGTGACATGAGTGTAGTTTTTGTATAATTGTTTCTTTTTTTTTTTTTTTT